AAAGTGTGTTTATGGGTTTCGGCCATATAATTTGCTCTTTTACCTCTTGTGCCAATGAGCGGTTGTACCTATTAAAGCATTACCAAGTGTAGTTTCCCAAACACAAAAAGATTATACATACCCATGAATATTTTTACACAATTGTGCATCACAAGAGTTAAAACAGATTAATTTCTTCTAAATAAACATTATAGCATTAGCAGAATATTTGTAGAGGACTCCACAGAGCTAATTAGCTACTTGAGTATAATTTAATCAAGATTGCTACAGAGCTGTACACAGGCATCTAACTACACATTGTAATTGTCATTTCATTTCTGCACTTGTGTTTGCTGAATTATCAGTTTTGTCAGTATATTTGGTAATAATGGGTTGAAAGGGTACACAAAGTATTATATTATCAAGAAGGTGTAGGGAAGTTTAAAAATGTCATTACCTCACCACAGATTATTTTGAGTAGAGAGGGGTAAAGTTTAATCTCTAATGAATTCTCATGAAGATCTCTTCATGAATTTGTTTAACTTGTTGTTGAAACTGGAAGCCAGGATGTCCACACATGGCCTATTCCACTTTTGACAGAGATTTTGAGAAATCTCAATGTGCTAAGACCACTACCCCAGGTCTAGGTGTTCATGGCTTAGGTAGATTGCCAGTCAATTGTCCAGGAATTTGGACGGCCGAGTGTATGTTTCAGCACAGGACAGTATTAGGCCTGTTTCTATTAGGGCAGCCTGACTTTTGGTTCCCCCCTGATAGTTGATGTAGGCCACTGCTGTGGTATTGCCCGACTTTACCATGACTGGTTGATGTTGCAGAAGGGAAGTCCAGTATTGCAGAGATAATTTGATGGCTTTTAGTTGCAGAATGTTGATGGCAAGTTTAGATTCCAATAGGGAACATGTCTCTTGGAGAGTCAGGGAGTTGTAAACTCCACCCTAGCCTGTAAAGCTGGCATCCATTGTCAGCATCTTCCAGACAAATGAAGAAATTACTTTCCCAATCCCAGGGCAGGAATTGAGATCCACCAGGTAAGGAAGATCTTTGTTTGGCTGGACAGAGGTACTGGGTGATCCAAGATTGTATTTGTTTGTAGCACATCGTGAGTATGCTTGATTAAAGAGGTCTGAAGTGAAACTGGGCAAAGGGAACTGCCTTGAAGGACACTGCCATTAAGCCTAGAACCTTCATGCAAAAGCAAGCTGATGGGTGTCATTTTGACCAGGGGGTCCATATGGGACCTTAGGGAAACAGCTTTCTGAAGGAAGAAAAATTCTAGCTTGAGCTGTTTCACAGGTACCCCAGATGGTGTGAGGGCTGGAGAGTTGACTCTGGAAATGTAATTATCAAATCAAAAATTTGAAAGAACTGAATCATCCTCTGGACATTGGCAGATAAGATTGTAGCTGAGAGGCAGTCCAAGTAACCTATGACATTCCCTGGGTCCACAGGAGAGTATAGCCCAAAAATTAGCAGTATAAATTGTAATTTTTGGTCCAACAGTAAAACTCAAAAAGTGTTGATGTGAGGGTAAGATGATGTTTAATTAGGCATCTTGTATATCTACTAATACCATTAATACCCCTTTATGGTATTGATGGTACTGATTACATACAGAATTTTATTACACTAAGCAAACAGTTTAAGCTCAGAATGGGGCAGATGCCCATATTTGGTTTTGGGACTGTGAATAAGTTTGAAGAGAAACCTTGAAAATGTCCTTTTGAAGGCACCGGCACAAATACTCCTTCTTGTAATGTAATGGACATTCATATATCCCTTGTGATAGGGTCTCTTCATAAATATGATTTGTAGTTATCCCTATTATACCAAGCAAATTTTAGTTGGTTTAGTTTGTGATAATCTCAAAGCTCTGACGCATTATCTAGAGGTTGTATTAATTCTAGAGTCCAAATTAAAGTTTTTTAATAGCACTGTAATTAAATTGTAATAAGTCATTATGCTATCTTAGAAAGAGGCAAAGTATGAACTGATGACTCACCTAAATTAGTATAGATGAATGAACTGTGTGTGCTTGCTTGTAACAGTCGGCTCTATAGAAACTGACAACAAGCATTTTCCTTTAAACCTGCCCCTTTAAGAGTGGGTAGACCTGCTTAAGGCACTTCACAAGACACTGCATAACTTCAAAATAGCATCAGAGAGTACAGACTTTAAAAAAATCCATGCTGATATGGGAGAAAAGCATCTTGGAGACCGATTTTCAGCAGATACTTCACCACACCCCAGTTTTTTTTGAGTAGATGATACCACTCTAGTCTTAGGTTGACTCATGCTGCATGCTTTAAGCTTCATCTGGTGGTCTTCATGGAGGACACCTACAGTAAGAGAGATTAGGAGTCACCTGTGTGTTGGGAAGTGCATTGCAATGAGGGAAGGTTCACTTGAGTCCCCTCTGTCAACAGCAGAGTTCTGAACACTGTTGTTTAAGACAGAAAGTGGATGTCCAAGGTGTCTGTGTTCTAAGATGGTACACTAAGTGAATATGTGATGCTATTCTATTTGTCTCATCATCATGCCTGTGCTTGAACTGCTCTATGTGCTTTATGTGTTTACTAACTATTCCCAGCTTTTTCCTAACATTGGAGCACTTCCAATTGGGATGCTATATGTCACCTGTCTCTGTTATGTGCACCACATTGTCACCTTGTAATAATTATGGGGGTACTGTTGATAGGGAAGGCTTAGTTGATTCACTTTTTTTCAATAAAATTATGCAGCAACGACATTGCATTTGACTGTTTTTCATTTTCTTATTTTTTGAGCAACCACATCTTGTGCCTGAGGTTGGTGCAAGACAGTAAATCTGTCTTATTTTGGTCTGAAGCTGGAAGATTGAAAGGTAAAAAGTGAGGAGGGGAACAGAGATAGAAACTGTAGTTTGCACCCTTTTGAAATAACAGATTGGACGTAGAGGTCCAGGAAAAGTTGGTGCATATGGCAAAGGTATTCCACACTCACAGGAGTGAAGTTCACCCCTTCATTGTAAGGAAGGATTTTGGAAAGGTTTGGCAGGCTTGGAAGTCCAGGGCTTGCAATGAAAGGAAGTGTTGTTGCTGGGAGGGGTCTAATGTTGCTGGGGGGAGGTAATGTTGCCAGCTGCAGGGGATCTATTGTTGCTGGCTACAGGGGTTCTATTTTAATGTTTTTCTTGTTATTATTACCAAACTCCATACAAATTACTTAGCATCACAAAATTATACTTGTTCTGTATTTTTTAAAAGGGTCTGTACCAGGGGGTGGGTATGGAGTGAAACCAAGGGACAGAACTCAGAGGTAGGTAGAGGCAGAGACAAGGGGTGACTCAGAAGGGGGGAGTACCTCCACCTATTCTCTGAAAAAAAACCCTGCTTCTCAGGGAGGAATTCTTGACTCATTGTTAAGTACAAAATAAGCAGCTCCTTTAGCGTTCTGCCTGTAGAAGCAACTAATGTTATCCTTTGTGTTCATGCACATTAGATAGTCTAGAGGCGTTTTTTAAGCTCAGCAGAGAAAAAACCCTTCTGTTTTGTTTTTTTTTAGAGTGTTTTGGCAGAAAAAACGCTGAACGCTCCTTAATACTAGTACAAAAAATGCTCAAAGTTAGCATTTTTTTTCTACCAAGAGCACTGGCATTTTGTAAAGCATGCATGGAGCCACAAAGTTACTTTAGTCTTTTCAATCTTTATTTTATACGATAAATTCTGGGGAGAGGTTTAGAGAACAAGATTCCACAAAACAGAAAGTATATCAGAAACTCTAGTATTAATTATTGTAGGTGGCCCTTTAAGCACAGACAAGAAAATCAGTGACTCTGTGAAAGCAGTGAAGGGTGGAGAGGGGAAAGCAATGGAATAAGCAGCCTAAAAATGAAGGATTCTTTTACTAAATGGAGTACTGTATATTGATGTGCGGAGGACACTGTAATGCATAGGCATGTTTTTGGCAAAAGTCATTAAAGGTGCAAATACCCTTTAAGGAAGAGTCCCTACAATGATATACTGTACTGTATATTATATATTAATGTGTCCAGTATATACTGTATGCTTGTAAACTTTCAGAAAAAAAATAAAACTGACCAAAAATCCATTCACCCCCTTTCACAATGCTGCTGAGTTTTTCTCCTTAAATAATACACAGAGATTTCCTTTAACAAATAAATAATTGCAAACTTGCAGTAGGCTTAGAGTAACAAGGATAGTAGGCATACACAATCACAATTGTCAAGGGAATACCAGATGTGTGTGGAGGAATAGGACAAATGATTATTGTGTGGGCAAATTTGAAAATGAGTGGGGACAGCACATTAATAATACAACAGTGAGAGAGGGAGAGAGAGAAAAAAATGAGGGAGTATCGTTATTCTGCAGAAGTTTTGCCCTGTCACTTATCAGTATAGGATTCCCTTCTAATTTATTTTTTTCCATACTAGGCATACAGCGCCATGGCATTTTGTTTATTGTGAGACAATTTGATTCTATAAATTGAAGGTAGGAGTTTACAATGGCTCACATTGATTTTGGCTTTTATTGCAGCTCGGGGTGGGTGGAAAATCAATTGTCTACACCCACTATTGAATACGATTTTGTTAAATTGAAGTAAAAGATAGCTGTTTAGCTGGGATATCTTGTTTCCTAAGAGTCATTACATCCAGACCAAACTAATGTCAACAGAAACTTGGAACTTTCCTAGATGTACTTCTACAATGTGTAGAATAATAGAAAGTTAAAGCTGAACTCCAGGCACAGATTAAAAACACAAATTAATGCATCTATGTATTCATTAATATCAGGGGCGGACTGACAACTCATGGGGCCCCCGGGCACTAGGGGATCATGGGGCCCCTGTGTCCTTGCTCAAACTCAAAAAAAGCCTATGAAAAAGGTACCAGGGGCATCTCATGGGGCCCCCTACTGACCCCGGGCCCTCGGGCAGTGCCCGAGTTTCCAAATGGTCAGTCCACCCCTGATTAATATATAATTACAGTTATATTTTTAATGCAGGCAGTGAAAGTACATGAATTTTGCCTCTTGCAATCCCTATACAGCAGAGTTGGAGTGTGACAGGAAGAAGCAGCACAAGGATCCAATCAGTTCATATGCTAACAAGGCATATGATTGTAGGAAGAGCAAGCAGAGTGACAGAGAGATGAGCTCATAACTGTGGAGCTTCTTATTGCACTGCCCTATCACAGCCTGGTGCAGTACAACCTTTGATCAGAGGAGGTTGGTTGAATGATGCTGGCCAGAGCCAAAGCCAGAGTTTACAAATGCCTATCCACTGAATCCTTAAAGGAGGGGTACCCCCAACAGAAAATCTCGACTGATCATTCATTGTAAGAATGGCAGGAACAGATCCATTATTGTGAAGTTCTACATCCATAGGATTTAAGGCTTCAGATTTGTTAGGAGGGTTGAAAACCCTTTCTGAGTTCGTTTAGTTAGTCTTTGTATAAGGCCCATCTTTCCTTATCCAGGGAAGAAAAAGGATTTCTACAAAAGGCCTTCTTTGTTACAAATACGTGAGGCCTGTGCAAGACTGGGTTCCATAGACTAGTACACACTGCCTCAATCAATGAGTCCACAAGTGGGAAACTAAGGGAGTAACTTCTCGAAATTGTGATGGTGAAAAATGTGCTAGGCAATTCTGGTCATGGCCAATTAACATAATAATGGAAATGAAGACAGAAGAACATTTATGGCTCATAGCCCCTGCCGATTCCAGAGATGATAATAGCCTCTGAAATAGTTCACACTTAGTGGGAGGGAATTCTGCTTTTGTTATAGTGTGCATCTGAGGCAGCATGAGTCAGGGGGCTGGAGCAGTATTGGTGGTAGACCTTGCTCTGTAACAGGGAAAATGCTATCAACCTGAGAGGAACTTGGGGTTTTTCTTAGGGCCTGCAGACTCGTCACTGTCTGTCCCACATGCTTTCACTCCCAAACGCCTGGACATGGATTGAGGGGGGTTAGTGTGTCCGGTATGAGGGAATCACAATAACCCAGGCGCAACATAAGTTCCAATGCCTGTGTCTCTGAGGTATTTGGCAACAGGTGGGACAGCAAGAGATTAGCCTGCAAAATTCTTATAAGCAATAGGTCACTAGACAGAGGGGAACTTCTGATAGTTAGGTGAAAACACACTACCATATTTAAATACATAAACACTGTAACATTACCTATAAGACCAAATAGTGAGATAATAAAGGTAGGAAAACACTAAGAGTGGATAATCCCCCCCCCACTCCATAATCTGTGGCTTCTAAACTGTGTGCATGACACGGTGATATGTCTTGTTCCTACAAGGATATAATGTATACTATAGATCCATCAAGACACATCTGGCCAGGAAATGTTATATATAAAGGTATATGTTATGTAGAAATGTTATGTATAAAGGTATAGGGAAACCCTGTTTTACATTGTCCTTGTTGCTAGTCCCATTCAGTGTCCGAGTTCTACCCACCACAGTGAGCATAACCCCAAAGGAGTTTTCAGGGTTTGGGTGCCATAGAAATGGACCACGGCCCTAGACCTGTGTATCACCCTGTTGCAAACTACACTTACTGCACCAAGGTACAGTAAGCACTGAATTAAGAATTGGGTGCCCAAAGCAAACATTACAGGCCCCACTAATGCGAATCTGAGTACAGTTCTGAAGATATACTTGAGGGTAACCAATGTGAAAACTGCTATGAGCAAAAACTGTGAGACATAAAGGCAATAAGCAGTTAGATACTGTATGTTGGTCAAAGAAAGTAAATTAAATCTGGTAAAAAAAGTGGGTAATTCTTCACCAAGAGGAAAAGGCATCCATCACCTAACGACACTAGGAAAAAACTGGAGCTTTGTGAAATGGGTGGGGTTATATGGTTACATTGGGGTGAGGACCCAGTGTAGGTCCAACTACCTGAATGTAGCAACATATAGCTTATGATCTATGAATTGATTCATGTGTCTTGCACAGTATGATAAGGATAGACTGTATTGTCTTTAATTCAGGAGATATAATCACTTAAAAGCATTTCTCTTACAGCCTTTCCATCTCTATAGGATTTATCTCAATAGGCTACTATAGGATATAGGAAGCACACATCTATTAATCCCATACTTGTTCTTCTCCCAAGGCCTCACTACATCTCTTGTGACTTACAGGCTAGATCCCCAGGTACTCTGTGCTGCGAGGATGGTCCCAGTATGTGGGGAACTGTTTGCTGATGAAGGAGCCAAACAGCACACTCCTTCACTACCAGAGTCTCCGTCTCCCATGCCATGTCACCAGCTACCTGGCTGGTTGGCTGCTTGAAGCATTAGACACAAGTATGGTAGTCATTAGCAATGACAATATAGCCTCCTTAGGACAGCTCTCTGTAAGACCTACAGTATCATCTCTAACTTCTCTTGTCCCCTTGAATAAGCCCTATTCTTTCATACACCATGCATGCACCCCTTTAATAACTTCAGGCAGTAGAACTGAATAACAAGTTCTTTTACTAAAGTAGTTGAAGGTAACAGAGAAAACAATTCTCCAAGATATTTCCACACTTATTCCTGAAACATTATCTAAATACCCAATGAGGTAGACATACTGTACCTTTTTTAGGTAGTAAAATCAAAAGTGCTTTACAAGGCAAGAGTCCATTACTGGCCTTAAATCCATAGTTGGTAGCAATAATCCATAACGGGTAGTAAATACATAACTGGCAGCATAAGTCAATATAAGTCCATACCCCTTGGAATCCTAACTGGGCTCCCACAAGGGGTGGTAAAGCAACAGAGTGGGGAATACATCCTCAGCAGTGTTGTGGGATTTTTCAACTCCAAAATAAATACCTAATCCTGGTTAGTCAGTGATACCCAATTGAATAGATTTTATGTAGCTACATAGAGACCAGAGAGACTCAAGTATTTTGAATCAGTTGATCTGCTTTAATATTTTGGCACTTGAGTTTAAGCACACAGATTGACGTACTGTATGTAATGTAGGTTGTATCAAGAAATTAAATGAACCAATCGAAGATTAATATGATTACAGCAAGCATTGAGTTAATTGTCTTATGATCATGGTCCATCAAGAAGTCATCGCTAAAGAATGTTTATTTCCTTTTGCTTTGGGTGCCATTCTAAAATAGCCGTCCAGATGGGTTTTCCAGGAACTTTGCCACAGGTTCTCCAAACATAAATCATAAGTTTCAGGTAGTCAGCAGAATTATTTTTTGCAATATGCCAATGTACATGTAAAGGAAATAAATCAGCACAGATTAAGGTTCCTATAATGAAGCCATTTTGTTCTAAACAGCCATCTTGCCACCTCCATCAGCACTCTCGCTCTCTTCCCATGTGAGAGCAAAGACTATTTACCTAGATACAGTTTTCCTTTTTATCTGCTCTGTCCAGAAGAGGGTTGTACTCCTCAGAAAAGCCCAGACAAGTCTGACTAGCAGAGTTAACCCTTGTCTACCAAACAGCATCACTTCTGCTGGGCAACAATAATTAAGCAGTTCAACTTACACAGCAGAAAATAAACTTAACCCATGAAATAACTAACACAACCAACACAGTATTACCTCATTAAGCACCTGCTTACATCTTGGTTTACTGTATAGGCAGGAAGAGTCCCTACCCTTCTGTCATGCTCACCATGCTAAGCTTAGCCATGCAAAGACCAACGCCTGTTGCCTTCCTCCATTCCTAGCGAAGTACTCTGGTGAAGTTTTGCTGTGTGCATACTTAGACTATGCGCCTCCTTTCTCTGAAGGGTTACACCTTCTCCAGTATGGTTTGTTTCTTTTTTCTCTGTATCGATTGAACTAGATGGACTTGTGTCTTTTTTCCCCTATGTGTAGATAACACAGAATGTCCACTATTTATTTATCAGTGTGGTTCTCTATGCACTGCTTTTTAACCCCGAGAGAGACATTCCTTTCTCTGCTCTCACCTACAAGGTGGTATTTCTTGTAGGCACCATCCCTGCAAGTCCAGTGTCCATTTTTTTTCTGCAAGGTAATGGACTACAGAAAGTTTCATTGTATTCATCTGACCCTTCCATGTTGCTACTTTGTACCAGTTTCCACCTCAGCTAACATTTCAGTCTTTTGTCCTATTGACTGATTGCCATTAAGTCATCCACATTTTGATTTTTATTGATCCACTGTACCTTTTTTTTCAATTCAGTACTGGATTAATACTTTTAATTTGACTGCTTCAATAAGACAAATCTCTTCATTGATCTGCTTTACAACTCTTTATGTGTTAATGTGTTCATTATTACTTCCTGTTCACTTTCATTGGTTTTCTAGAGTGAGATTTTCAAACTCCTTCAAAGCCATCAGTGTCCTCCTTTTTCATTATGCTATCAATACTCTCCACTTGTCAGAAGAGACCAGTGATGCAGTTGAGGCCAGATTGAAAAGCTGTTTTCCTTCTGAGAACCATGTGTAGATACACACTAAGAATTCTTTATAGCCATCATGACTTCTATGAAGCCAGTGTCTGAGCTGGCAGCCTTGTCTTGCAAGGAACCCATTTTTAAAATTTTTGCTTAGAGACATGGTGGTATTTAGGCCCTGGACTTTTTTTTGCCCAGGCTGCATTGTCAGCCCTGTCATATTTGTTTCAACAGGATAGAATGGCCTTACAATGAAAATCTAAAATAAAATAACATTTTAAAAAATGTAATGGTGAATTTAAGAAAAATTAAATTTAAGAAAAATAAAAAACAACTACCACAGTTTGCAGAACCTCTGCTACTCACTTTAGGCCTGCCTAATACACTTTACGTTTTACATTTTCTGACTTGATGGTTTGACAAATGTCCTGCAAACAAAACCCAAATACATTCTCTCATTCTTAGTGTGTAGGTTGACCACTTCAATACTGTACCAATACTAACACTTCTCTCATACATGTAAATATCTGCATTTGTTTGCTAGAAAATTACTTAGAACCCCAAACATTACATATTTTTCAGCAGAAGCTCTAAGGCACAGGTGTCAAACTGGCGGCCCTCCAGCTGTTGACAAACTACAAGTCCCATGAGGCATTGCAAGATTCACAGTTACAAGCATGACTTC